AGAGACAACATATACCTTGAATTAATACTGGTTTGAAAAACAATATAAATTTTTTTAAGACAGAGTCTCACTATGTTGCCCTCGGTAGTGTGCTATGAAGTCACAGCTCACAGCAACCTCAAATTCCTGAGCTTAAGTGATTCTCTTGCCTCAGCCTCTCAAGTAGCTGGGACTACGGGCACCCACCACTACGCCTGGCTATTTTTCTGTTACAGTTGTCATTGCTGCTTAGCTGGCCTGGGCCAGGTTTGAACCCACCAGCCTCAGTGTATGTGGCTGGCACCCTAACCACTGTGCTGTGAGCGCTGAGCCTGAAAATCAGTATTTTGAAGGTAACTAGTGAAATTCAACTATGGCATAGATATGGAAAAGATATTAGTAAATACTACATATATTATAATCACCCCAGGTGTGGTAGGGGGTATCATAATTCTGTAGGAGAAAGCCCTTATTGTCAGGAAATGCCTGCTGAAGTATTAAGGAATAAAGTATCATGAAGTATGAACAGATGTTCAAGATTCAGCATAAAACACAGCCAGATTAAGCAAATGTGGCAAATGTCAAACTGCTGAATTCTGGTTCAGGGTGCCTGGATGTTTACTCATTATACTATTCTTTCAGCTTTCCTACACTGCAAACAAGTCAGCACTGGAATGGAGCGGGCAGGGAGGGTCTCCAGCTGCCCTGCAGAAGGCAGGCAAGGCATCCAGAGTCCAGTGAGGAGGGCACCACAACACCCAGACAATGACCAGTCACCAGTGTGGTGCCCATGTCCCACTCCAGGCTCCAGAACAGCCAGCCAATGTCAGGCCTATGCTATGTAACCAGGGCAGAAAGGATGGTGTCTGTCAGCTACAAGCAGAGTGGAGGGTGCCTTCCTCTTCCTATGTCTGGTGCACCACCAACTTCAGGGTTAAGGTCAGGAATCTGGGGTCTGTTCTCTCAGAGTAGTCCCAGAGTAGTCTCTTTCCAGAAGCAGCAGAAGATGGTAAGAAAAGGAAGAAGTCAGAGGTTCTCCCACAGCTTTAATAATGGGATTCTCACCCATACTGAAGGGCATGTTATCTTGCAAAAATGGAAAGTAGATCATCTCTCTTGCCTACAAAAACACCTTGCTGGCTCCCCACTGCTCCTTTTCCAGTCTTGAAAACTGCCTCACATACTGCTGAGTCAAGGGCTTCTGTTTCTCTTCCCCCTGAATTTTGTAACAACTATGTGACAAACCCCAATTTATCAAAAGCCTGCCAAGCCCTGTGGGAATCTCCATCTGGAATCCAAGGCCCCAGATGAGCTCTTCATCTTTGAGTGCCTTTATGTCCCCACTCCCTTTCCAACACTCCTCACCCCTGGATTTTTTGGTGATATAGAACCCTCTGAAATGCACAAGCTATTTCACCTCCAGGTCTTTGCATATGCTGGTCCCTTTTCTTGAACCTTTCTCATTCATTCTTCAAAAACCAGCTTAGCGCCGATAGCACAGTGGTTACAGCATCGGCCACATACACTGAGGCTAGCGGGTTCAAACCTGGCCTGGGTCAGCTAAACACCAATGGAAACTACAACAAAAAAATAGGGGCATTGTGGGCATTGTGGTGGGCACCTGAAGTCCCAGCTACTTGGGGGGCTGAGGCAAGAGAATCATTTAGGCCTAAGAGTTTGAGGTTGTTGTGAGCTGTGATGCCATGGCACTCTACCCAGGGTGGCATAATGAGACTCTGTCTCCAAAGAAAAAAAAAAAAACAGCCCACCAACATGTAGGACGTATGCAACTACTGCTCCTGATTTGGTTTTACTGGCAGTCCAGGTTTGGATCTATAGTTTTCAACTGAGTAACAATTTAGTTGGCTTGAGATGGTAATTCTGTTCCCCCTGGTGAAGCAAGTTTATTTTTAACCTTGGGAAGATATGCAATAAGCATTACAGTACAGATTGTAGTAACAAGTCCTATAATATTGTTTGTGTAGGCACTTGAACTTCACTGTTTAAGAAGGTAGCCACTGGGGTGGCGCCTGTGGCTCAGTGGGTAGGGTAGGGTGGCAGGTTCAAACCTGGCCCCGGCTAAATTGCAACAACAAAAAAATAGCCAGGCGTTGTGACGGGCACCTGTAGTCCCAGCTACTCGGGAGGCTTAGGCAAGAGAATTGCCTAAGCCTAGGAGTTGGAGGTTGCTGTGAGCTGTGTGATGCCACAGCACTCTACCCTCGAAGAAGGTAGCCACTAACCACATCTGCCTATTTAATCAGGCAATGGGGAGTGGGGACATGATTCCCTTTAAATTCCCGGAGATGGTTGCTCACGCCTATAATCCTAGTACTCTGGGAGGCTGAGGCAAGGGGACTACTTAAGCTCAGGAGTTCGAGACCAGCTTGAGCCAGAATGAGACCCCATCTCTACTACAAATAGAAAAATTAGCCAAGCATTGTGGTGGTCACCTATAGTCTCAGCTACTTGGAAGGCTCAGCCAAGAGGATTGATTGCTTGTACCCAAGAGTGGGAAGTGGCTATGAGGTATCACACCACCGAACTCTACCAAGGGTGACAAAATGAAACTGTCTCAAAAAAATAAAAATAAATATAAAGATTCCATTACTCGGTGGCCCTGTGTCAAATGCTCAATAGGCACACATGTATGCAGATATAGAGAACTTCCGTCATGGCAGAAAGTTCCCTTAGATAGCACTGTTTTAGGGTTCTCCAGAGGGTTTCCTAAATCCTTACCCCATGGACAACTAAGAGTATTTCTCCAAGCAAGATCCAAAAGGACAATGTGGGAAGAAAGAACATTTCTCATTCATTTTAAGAAGCTAAGCTTGGCTAGATGCAAAGGCTCATGCCTCTAATCCTAGCACTTTAGGAGGCCGCAACAGGAGGACTGCTTGAGCTTAAGAGTTTGAGAACAACCTGATCAAGAATGAGACCTTATCTCTACAAAAAAAAAAAAAAAAAATAGAAAAATTAGCCATGCGTGGTAGCAGGTATCTATAGTCCTAGCTACTCAGGAGGCTGAGGCAGGAGGATATCTTGAGCCCATGAATTTGAGGTTGCTGTGAATTTTAACACCACTGCACCATACCCAGGGCAACAGAGTAAGATTCTGCCTCAAAAAAAAAAAGGCTAAAGCTCCTTAATTGTAAAGAGCTTTCAGATACAAATAAGAAAAAGACCGAGTACTCAATAGAAAAAGTAGACAAATGAGAGTTTGCAAAAGGAAACATATATGGCTCTTCAGAGTCAATCACATCTATAGAGAAGAAAAGAAAGTAAACACAACCCTGAGTGTGATTTCTCACTGCTCAGACTGGGAAAAATTCAAAGGCTTGAAAACACAAAGCCATGTAACCCCAGTCATCATCAATAAAGAACTGCTAAAATTAACAAACTCTGGCACACACATACATGTCCAACTTTAAAAAAATTAATAAAAACAGAACATAAAACAGAGCCGCAGCAGCTCCCCATATACTAAGGCAGAAAGACTCCCCAGGATACATTCTTAAATGGAAAAATCCAAGTCTAGAACAGTGTATACAATGCTATCTCCTTTGCATAAAAAGAATAAAAAAGGCAGGAGGGCAGAAAGGTCTCTCTCTGCTCTTCAAGGACACATAAGAACAGTGGTTACCTGGGGAGATGTGGGGGTGGGAGGATGCCCAAGAGGCTGGACAGATAAGGCAAAGGTCCTTGGTAGAGTGCCGTGGAGTCACAGATCACAGCAAGCTCAAACTCTTGGGCTCAAATGATCCCCTTACCTCAGCCTCCCAAGTAGCTGGGATTATAGGCACTTGCTATGACACCCAGCTATTTTTAGAGACAGGGCCTCCCTCTGGCTCAGGCTGGTCTCAAACTCGTGAGCTCAAGTGATCCATCTGCCTTGGCTTCCCAGAGTGCTAGGATTATAAAGGCATGATCCACTGTGCCCAGCTTTCTTCTGACTATTAAACTGAATCCTGTACTACCTTCCTCAAAATCACTACAGATACCTGTTCTGGGCCAGGTGTAGTACCTCACACCTGTAATCTAGCACTCTGAGAGGCTGAGGTGGGAGGATCACTTGAGCTCAGGAGTCCGAGACCAGCCTGAACAAGAGTGAGACCCTGTCTCTACTAAAAATAGAGAAACTGGCCAGGCATTATAGCAGGTGCCTATAGTCCCAGCTGCTTGGGAGGCTAAGGCAAGAGGATCTCTTGAGCCCAAGAGTTAGACGCTGATGTGAGCTATGATACCACAGCACTCTACCCAGGGTGACAGACAGAGTCTCACTCTGTCTCAAGGAAAAAAAAAAAGGATGCTTGTACCAAATGTGGCTAGCTACCTGATCCTCTGCAGATCTCGAGGTAAAACAAGGCCCTTCAGTCAGACCCAGCAGTCTGTATTATTACACAAGCTCTGCCTACAATTCCCCTGGGTCCTCAAGTTCATGACACAGAGTGGGGTCTTTTTTTTTGTAGAGACAGAGTCTAACTTTATCGCCCTCAGTAGAGTGCTGTGGTGTCACACAGCTCACAGCAACCTCCAACTCCTGAGCTTAGGTGATTCTCTTGTCTCAGCCTGCTGAGTAGCTGGGACACTACAGGTACCTGCCACAACACCAGGCTATTTTTTTTTTTTTTTTTTTTTGCAGTTTTTGGCTGGGGCTGGGTTTGAACCCGCCACCTCAGGCATATGGGGCCGGCGCCCTACTCCTTTGAGCCACAGGCGCTGCCCATCACCAGGCTATTTTTTTGTTGCAGTTTGATTGGGGCTGGGTTTGAACCCGCCACCCTCAGTACAATGGGGCCGGCGCCCTACCCACTGAGCCACAGGCGCTGCCCCAGAGTGGGGTCTTCAGACTAACAACCTCAGCTCTTCTCACCTGCAGCTGAGGAGACCTCCACACAGAAGCCCTACAGACTGAAAATGCCTATGGAGGGTCACAGAGGAAATCTGTCCATTTCTACGCCTTCTGCTCACAAAAGACTTGGTCGCTCTCGAATGGCAGCCTCCTGGAGGCCTGGACTTACCTCTCATCTGGAGAGTCTACATGGAAGGTCCTCTCGATGACTGTGGTCCACTGCAGGCAGCGTATGACAAAAGTGTTGGGCCGGGGCCTTTCGGTCTTCATGAGCTGGCATTCTGCAAGCAAAGGAAAAAGAGAGTATAGGAGTGAGGAGACAGCCCTGCCTAGTGCAGCCCACATTCCCCAAGCCACCTCCTATTTGCCCAGCCCTAAGCTGTGTAGAGGCACTCTAGTGACTGAGACAACCCTGACCTGTCCTCACAGGGCTCAAGGTCCAGTATGTGGGGGGAAGGGCCAGACCACCAGGTAGTTATGACTCAGTAGTCAAGGGTGTGATGGGGGGAGGCCGAGAGGTGTGTAAAAACTCAGAGGTGGCATCTAATCCAGCACATGGAGTCAGGAAGGACTTCTCAGAGCAAGCAGCATCTCTGAACTAAGCCATGAACAAAAATGGAACTTAGACACAGGGTACATCAAGTAAAGAAGCCCAGAGGGAAGAGGGCGCCCAACATACTCAGGGAATGGACAATTCTGCTCCAAGCACAAGGAGCAAAGTGAGAAACAAGCCTAGAAGAGGTGGGCTGGGGCCAGCCAGGCAGGGCTTTGGGAGCTACCGTGAGAGTTCTGGACTTTGTCCTCACGGCACCAGGGAGCCTTGGAAGACTTTTAAATAGAGAAGGAACACAAACAAATTGACAACTATCCCTCTGGCTGCTACACAGAGGGTGAGACTGGAAGCCACGGGCACAGAGAAGCAGGATGCAAGGAGTGGGGGAGAATGGCGCTACATCAAACTGAGGCCACAGGGAGGGGAAGATAGGTTGGTAAACAGGCCACAGCAAAGAGGAGGGTATCTGGGACAAGGCCGAGGCCTCTGGCCTGAGGACTCGAGGTTTGATAGGGATGCCCCTGAAATGGAGACAGAAAATAGGTTAGGGGAGGGTAGGAAAGACCTGAAAGTCAGTTTAGGACTGAGCAGGTGTGAAGGACCTGGAGGATACTCAAGGACAAACATCCAACAAGCTGCTAGGGACAGGCTGGCAACTCAGGTGAGAAGTGAGGGCTGTTAACAGATGTGCTGGGGTCAGACATCTACTGGGGTCACGCAGGAGAACCACCAGGAAAAAGATTTTCTATGGAGCAGAGTGACACTAGGCTAGAATCCAGAGCAGCAAGGGCAGAGGACAATGGTCTAAGCTAAGGCACTGGAGATGGGGGTACCTCTGAAATGTTCTCAGCAGAAGGAACAAGGACATAGGGGCTGACCAGGTCTGCAGGGAAGGAAGGCAGCAGAGGAGCAGGAGATGAGGGCATACCACGTTACACAAAGGCTTTGGGCTTGTGAACTTTTCATTGATTAAGGTCCAGCTGGAGGGCATCACTTCAGGTACCATGGAGGGAACAGAGCACATGAGGCTAGCCCTACTACCCTCTGAAGCCATAACACCTCTAGGATAGAGGGAAGAAGCTGTTACCAGAGTAGAGGACAAGAGACATTTAGCACAAGTTAGAATCACAGAGCCTGGCCAGCTGGGGAGTGTGGAGAAGTGCCCTGGCTTCCCCTTCCCTCCTGCTCTCCATTTCCCACCAAGACAGCTCTGCCTGGCTCAGCTAACACAGAGGGAGAGGCTCAGTGCCCGTAGCTCTGTGGTTAGGGTTCTGGCCACATGCACCAGGGCTTTAAGTTTCAAATCCAACCTGGGCCTGCTAAACAACAAAAACAAAAAAACAATAGCTGGGCATTGTAGTGGG